CCCCCCCACCCCACCCTACTTCACCCCACCCCGCTCACCGCTCCAAAATCTGACCTAGATAGCACAACAAATATCAGGCGAAACCTGGTTCCTTGATCGGATCTCCTATCCATTTTAGTCCAATTTTGCGGTTACATGTAACTGTTTGTCATACGAATGACAGATTGTCCAATTTTTGTACAATTTATCGCTACGTGTAACCGGGCTTTCATTGCCGAGTCATTTTGTAATTTCGATACACTGATTTCGAATTATTATTTTCACGTTATAACCAAATTTTCAGTATTTTTGTAAAACAATCATTGTATCCATCCCAATACCAAACATCCATAGATTTTTCTTTGCAGATTATGAAAACAAGCGAAGATTTTGAAAAGTGTAGCGGAAATAATCGCAACCTTTCCCTGTTTTTCGTTACCCTGTCAGCTATTTTAGTAAGCTAAGCTTTTTAGTCTATTTGAGTGCATCCGAATAGAATTTGAATCATTAAGTTCTCCTACCTATCAGAGGGCGTCTGATCAGAAATCTAATCACGAAATTCTTTAATCATTTATCTGGTTGCATTTGAACAGTATCCGAATCAAGTAAGGCCTTATTGGGAAGGGAGAATTGTACACGGTTTCCACCTGGAACTGATAGAGAACTTTGTTGTAATTTTCAGCACTTTTTTCAATGATAAAATTGAAAGAATAAGAACTGATTTAGAATCTGATATGTTAGATGTAAATACAAATATAGTTGTCGATGAAAATTTTGAAATTATGAACAAATCAACATTGAGTGAATTTAAAGTGGTATCAGACAAAAATGTCATTAGGTATATCAAAGAGTCCCCCGCTAAAACATGCGACTTAGACCCAACACCCACTTCATTGTTAGTTACGTGCATAGAAGATCTCGCACCATATGTTACTCGTTTTATTAATATGTCACTCACCACTGGAATCGTACCTGATCTTTTCAAACAAGCCATTGTAAAACCTTTACTTAAAAAACAAGGTCTTGATGAAAACGACATGAGGAATTTTAGCCCAGTTTCCAATCTTAATTTTTTATCAAAAATCCTGGAGAAAATCGTTTTGTGTCAAGTTCAACAACATCTAAATCCAATGACATGGAAGAACCTTTTCAATCTGCTTATAGAAGGTCCACAGTACGGAAACCGCTCTTTTAAAGGTATCAGCAGATGTTTTAAATGAAACCGATAATAAAAAAGTCTGTGTTTTGGTTCTGCTTGATTTGTCAGCGCGTTCGATACCATCGACCACAAAATTTTACTAGAGAGATTGGAAAAGTCATTTTTACTATCAGGTACTGTTCTTATGTGGTTTAAATCATATCTAGAAAATAGATTTATGTCAGTGAAAATTGGCAATGATGTGTCAGATAGGTTACCTCTAAAGCACGGAGTTCCTCAGGGTTCGGTCCTTGGTCCTGTCATCTTTACAATGTACACGCAAAGTCTGTCATCAATAATTTCTTTATATGCCCTCAATTGCCATCTTTATGCAGACGATACACAGCTGTATGGATTCACTACAAATGACAATGTACACAATCTCATAGATAGAATCACCAGATGTTTCAATTATATAAGAAAATTGATGTTCAAGAACAAATTAAAATTAAATGAGGATAAGACTGAAATATTATTTCTTCGTAGCAGCGCATGCAATGAAATCGACAATATCAGAATAAACATCAATGGCCACGAAATATCAGCTCAAACTAAAATAAAAAATTTAGGTGAGGTGCTAGATCCAGATATGTCAATGAAATACCACGTATCCAATCTTTGTAAAAATCTATATCTCCAACTGAAGAAAATAGGGAGCATTAGAATTTATCTATCTGTTGGTGTCACCAAAACTTTAATAACATCATTTATATTGTCAAGGATTGATTATTGCAATTCCTTACTGGCTGGTGTACCTGATGAACAGTTACAACAACTACAAAGAGTACAAAATATTGCTGCCAAAATAATTACTAAAAACCTTAGCATGATCATGTGACTCCTATTTTAAAAGCATTACACTGGCTCCCGGCGAAAGAGCGTATCAAATATAAAATCTGTTAACTTGCTACAAGTGCTTAAATGATTTATCACCGGACTATCTAAAACAGTTTTTAACACCCTATGTGCCTCCTAGGACGCTCAGATCATCAAGTGACAAAACAACCCTTGTAAAGCCTAAAATAAATTACAAACATATGGCCAACGCTTTTTTTCATATTTTGCCCCACTTGTTTGGAATAGGCTTCCAAAAACTATCAGAGAAGCAGAAAATCTAGAAATTTTAAAGAAGAAACTAAAAGCATTTCTATTTTCATCATATTTCGATTAGACAGAATCCATCCAAGCTGTAGATCGTTGTGAGTTTGTATGTGCGTATGTGAATATGTACGTATGTATGTATGTGTGTGTGGTGCGTGCGTGAGTGAATATGTGTTTGCACGAGTATGTAACACTATGTACCTTTAAAATTGATTTGTAAATCCATAATATGTATCATGTTAAGCACATAGACCATTGTATAAGTGGATATGCGCTATATAAATGCAATCCATTATTATCTATTATTAGTTCTAATGAGAGTTTGAACGGCTTTTCAAGCAGTTCGAATAAAAATACGAAATTGTAAATGATTAATGCCCCTTGCAGTACGGTAATGAAATTTAAAAGATAAAACCTCCGAATTTAACTTCTATCTGTGGTAGAAACTAGTCAACTCATAACATTCGAGTGAAACGATTTTCTCGAGTACTCAACCTTGGATCAAGCTGAGCCTCGAATCCTCGGACCCACAATCTCACGATTATGAGTCCTGTGACCTAACCCTAGACTACCGACGACACCACTGTTCGAATAAAGGCCTTACCTTCAAAACGAAGAACGTTCTGTTAAAACATGCTTTACCGTAAATATAATTCGGGGGCTCTCGTGGTCTAGAGGCTATGATGTTCGCCTGTCATTCAATAGGTTCCGGGTTCCAAACTTGACAGTGACGGGAAATTTTCTTTCCTAAAATTTCCCACTTTCACCTCCTTTCCTGCTCTCTAACCATATTCTGTCATCTGCTTTCGTCTCCACTTCCTGCCCCCAACACCCCACCCCCCAACCCCTTTGCCCCTTTCCTGTGGGCTCCCGACCCTTTCCGCAGCCTTTCTATTTCTTCCCCTTGGCTCCTTTTTACTGTTGCCTTTTAGCCACGCGCCTGATCTTAGTGTAAGTGAGATCTACCACCTAGCTTTCTCGGAAAACGACGAAACATCTTGCAGGTTCCGTGTGCACGTTGCGCTCGAGATCACTTGGAGGTCCAAAATCGATAACCGTAAGCTTCAGCCGCCACCCAAGCAAAATTCAAAATTAATCCCTACCAGACTGAATAATATGTTCAATGTGTCCCACACACTCATATGACCTTATACAGTTGTGAGCGCCGTAACACACTTACCAAAACGAAGCAAAACAAAAAATATGATTCAAACCTCGTGCACACATGTTTTACCCACCTATATATCGCTCTTCTTTTGCCGGTATGTCAGCTCGCTGCGCCTCTCTCTCTCTCTCTCTCTCTCTCACTCTCTCTCTCACTCTCACTCTCTCTCTCTCTCTCTCCAAATAGACAGATACAGATGGACCAATATGCGGTAAACTTCTTCTTCTTCTCGATCGCATCACACTTGAAGTCTGGTATCTGTCATAAATTGGGCCGTCCTGCTCAGTTCATCTGGCGGCCCGTATAGAGACATTATAGACAGATAGATAGATAGACAGACAGACAGATAGATAGACAGATAGATAGATAAATAGCAAACAAACCGATAGATAGACAGACAGATAGATAGATAGATAGATAGATAGATAGATAAATAGATAAATAGATAGATAGATAGATAGATAGATAGATAGATAGATAGATAGATAGATAGATAGACATTCAACTATATCTTATGAACGAGAAGTTAAACACGTTTTGCTTTATTTCTACCAGCACAAAACCATGAGCTTAGACGGGAGACCAACTGTGGACATAATGCCCGCTCCCCTTGACATCCCAGCCCCGCCCCCTGGAGGAGGAGCCCCACCCCCTAGAGGACCTCCCCCAATCACAGCCGACATGGACATTTTAATTGACAAGTCTGTCTACGACGTGGTCGAGGCTGTCTTTAACTGCGGACTCATTAATTTGGTCTGTATGCTAGGAGCTTTAGGAAACGTACTCAACATTTACGTGTTGTCCAAACATGGTCTCCAAAGCAGCATCAACATCGTGCTGTTTTCTCTTGCCGTTGCCGACCTCCTCCTCTTACTGACCCTTCCTCTGAGGAAAATCTCCCTCATCATCGCTTACTTTGACGAAGCTTATGCACTGACTTTCGAAGCATATGTAATTTGTTACCAGTTCCTGACCCTGAACCGCATCTGGGCCCTTATCTCCCACACCCATGTGGTCATAATCGCCGTGGAGAGATTCCTAGCTGTCTACTTCCCCTTCAAGGTCGGACAACTCGTGTCCCCGGTCAAGATGAAGATCATTACGGTGTGCACACACGTGAGCTGGTACGTTCTGCTCACACCAATGTTCACAATGTTCAAGCTGATCTGGGTGAGGCATCCTGACTTAAACGCAACGGTCGCCATCCCTGGAATCTCTGACTTTTACTTTGAACACGAGCTGGCCTTCAACTTCTACATTAGCTTCATAGTCAACCTACTAACGGGAGGCTTGCAGCTGATCTTCGTCCTTAGTTGTAGTGTAGCGGTCGCTATAAAAATCTCCAAGATGGGCAGGAAAAGACAGGCCATGATATCTTCTGCCCCAGGAGTTCTGAGCAGTATTGCTCTGGGCCACACCACATCAGTCAGGACCTTATCCAGCGTAGTCGAGTCGCAACAAGGCTCGTTTCCCAAGTCTGATCCCAGCACGAATGACAAAGAAAGGGATAGAGTTACTGCAGGCCAGGGAGACAATGCAGACGAGGAAGCACGTGACCTGACACACAAGCAGCCACAGGAGCAGCCTCTTGGACAGACACTGGAACAATCAAAAGGGAAGCCACACGTTGGTAGCAGATCTACCTCATATCTTTGGGGAGCAAAAGACGAGAAGAGTGTCAGTTCGTCAGGTCACACCCGTGCCTCCACTCGTGTGGACTTGAAGGTCGTGCGCATGCTTTTAGTCGTATGTCTGGTCTATCTCTGTTTCGTGTTTCCCACGTTTTTCCTGTACGTTTTCCAGTACGTGTTTCAGGAGATGAAGAGCCCGTATTGGCATCGCGTAAACTTCGTGGCTACCTCTGTGCATATGTTGCTCCTAGCCCTTAACTCGGCAACAAACTTTATTGTCTATGTTGCCACCTCACAGAAGTTTTATACAACTCTTAAAGCTATCTTCGTTAAACGTTCGAAATAAGAACCAGATGATGGCATACGGTATATCATCACGTACAGGATGTATGGGCGAATAAGACACAGGTAGACTTGAGGGGCAAAATGTTGGCATATATCACTTAAGATGCATCAACTTTTTAATGGGTAGCACTGTCATCTTCAAAGGTGGATTTTTAAAATTTATAACCACGCTTCAAAACAAAAACAAAAATGAAATTTTTGTTACTATAACCTATTAATGTGTCAGTAGTTTTAGACCTAGATCTACATGGTAACACTGAGCAGCCATTTTGTTTTAAAATGATGTTCAGGGATATTTTACTCTTTTGACTGTTTTACGGTCAGTCCCCAGTCTGATATTCTTTTTTTTCTTTGTTTTCATTTATTTTTGTAGATTTTGTTCGCTTTTTGTGGAGTCTCTTTTTTGGTCTAATTTCTCGAGTTATGTATAAGACGACGATGACGTCGAAGACCTGATTTTTAGGTAAAAAGATGCGTCCCATACGTGACGTTATACTGCTGTCAAGACACCCAATAACCTTTATTTGACTGAACAGTCATACTTTTTTTTTTCAATCTTTAATCAGGTAACGATGTGACCTTACTTTTAGGTGAATAGGGTTTTTGTTTGTTTGTCAGCTTTTTGTTGGTTCTTTAGTACGTTACAAGAATGGGGACAGAGATGGGTCACTGAGTTTTCGGTGATTGACAACCATTTTAACAGACACAAATTTCTTTGCGGTGTAACAGATTTCAGTAGACTGCTCCCCAAAGTACAGCTACCAGTATGTTTGGATATGAGTGTGTTACTTCTCCGGTCTGTGGCCAAAAAGGTGTTCGTGTTCAATTTTGATGTTTTATCATTTTCCCGTCATAATACGTAAGCAAAATGTCCGAAATGCATCGTCATTAAAGCTACAGGGTTACAAACGTTCCTTAGTTGATTCAGAATGATGGTAAATTCCGAAAAAAATATATTATTATTATTATTATTATTATTATTATTATTATTATTATTATTATTATTATTATTATTAAAATATGACACGTGCGTGTACAAGAGCAGCTAAAACGTTTTAGCTGAATTCTTATCGATCAGAAAACTCTTGGACAAGGGTTGAGAGCTAGTAAGTACATGTAGTTTTCATTAATCCTCAATTTTCGTGAAGTAAAAATTCAACATGTTGATGTTTCCATGACTACTAAAAGCCATCAGCGAGGGGAAAAGTGAATTTGTGGCCCTAATCTCTTTCAATAATGCGGCAAAATTTGAGGAATATCAGTTCTAAGCTAAAATATCTTATAATTCATTAGCAAAGGGTAATCAGTGAAAGAGCTTGCTAATAGGACAAGCAGACTGACTTTGATAATATGACTCTGTGTTAACAAACATGTTCGAAAGCTGTAGGTTTTCACATACAAAAGATGGGTGAAGATTATACTGGTCTATTCGTAAATAGTCACTTGCAGTCATGTTTTTCTGCTTTTGAAGAAAAACGTTAGACTGTAGTGGGTTCTCTGAAACGAAAGAGGTAGAAGAAGCTTACAGCTGTAGGGATTATTATAGAACATAATTTATTATATGTGTGTATGTGCCTGGAGAAAGGTCCCATTTGTTGTCAAATATATTTTTGAGCAGCGAGGTGAAAAGGCCAAAAAAGTGGTACGTGGTCAAATATTTAGTTCCATCAGAAAACACTCATTTAACCATGTCTTGATTACATATTGAAAGAATTTCATAGTATTTTAATTCTATATATTTTTATTAGCTATTTTGGCAAAATGGTGTACTTACTAAATGTTAAAGATTTGTAACAAACTTGATTTTTCTCCACACTTTGTTTTTATACCCTGTATTACAAAATGAGACTTTTCGATAGGCGTATCAGACAGTCGTCACAAAAAGTTAAGACCCCTTGCAAAAGAGTACAAAAAATTTAAACCTGCAAATCAAATTATTCGTTCTTTAACACACATTTAATTCATCAATCCATGAGTGCAACAAAGAAATTCCGTTACAATCGAAACCGAAATGCATGATTCCCAGCGCTCAAAATGGACCCACCCTCAAAATCGAAAATCACAACAGAAAGGCGTGGGGAATGTTGTTCCATTTTTTTTTACAGCCATCCAAGCAGCTGCTGGCGGGCAAAGGGTAGTTCTCCCGAACTCTCCGATCAAGCTCAGCCTACAACTGTTCAGTAGGATTAAGGTCTGGACTGTTGGCTTGCCAAACCATGCAGGTAATCCCCGCCTGCAGCACGAAGGCGTTGACGCCCTGGTCCTGTGCGGCGTGGCGTTGTCGTCCTGAAGGACAGCAGCAGGCCAAATCTGCTGCAGCGCCGTGAGGAAAGATCTCCAGCAGATACCGCTGCCCTGTCAGGATGCCTTGACTGCCTTTTCGTGAATGGCGGAAACATGCGCTTCTAACAATTTCATTGACATTCTCGAACTTGAACTGGTCGTTTTCTTTGATATTGCTGAGACTTTTAGAGACCCTTTCTTTTGTGATTTTCGATTTTGGGGGTGGGTCCCTTTTGAGCGCTGGGAATACGCATTTCGGTTTTGATTGTGATAAAATTTCTTTTTTGCACTTATGAATTAATGAATTAAATGTGTGTCAAAGAAGGCATAGTTTGATTTCCTGGCTTTTATTTTGACTGCACTTTTGTAAGTGGTCCTTAATTTTTGTGAAGACTGTATCTTTTAAAAACTCTTTTTCAAAATGTATTGCTCTATCTTCCACCCCACCGCCTAAACCATATCAAACACGATGGTCATTAATTAACCCTTCAACATTCCAGGTAAGAAATGGTAAGGATTGAAACTATTTGGCCCAGATAATTAAACTGCTGGGAGGGAAAGAGACTGAACAGAAGAAACGAAAGGAGAAAAGTAAGTAGTTAGGACAACGTTGTTATATTATTGTAAGTGTACATGTTGTTTCTTGTGTAATAAAAGAAAAATCATAAATCTTTGACTTCACTTTTGTTAATTGTTTTGTGTTCATGGGGTTGCTTTTTCTTAGGGCTTTAAACAACAATGATAACAAAGCAAACAAAATACCTCCCCAACCACCTCCCCTCCCCCCAACAAAACAACAACAAACAATCACAATTGAACTATAAAGATAATATGCTTAAAATTTAAAAGCTCTGATTATACTCTTCGATCTTGATTTTTCTGCTTGATCAATTTTAGAAGGGGCGCCGCGCATGTTAAGTTAATATACTGTAGTAGGAATGAACAGAATCAAACCCAAAACCAATGATTCCCGTTTGTTTAGTAAGTTTATAATACTCCATTAAAACGGTTAGGTCCTTTTGGAAATGAGTTAATTTTTTGGAGTTGTTAAAGGGATAAAGAGGGTTACGCTTCTTTGCTTGAAAGTAAAATATATACATATCAGCACACACACACACACGCACACACACACACACACACACACACACACACACATACACACACACACACACTCTCACACACACACACACACACATATATATTTGTATATATATATATATATATATATATATATATATATATATATATATATATATATATATATATATATATATATATATATATACGGTTTGTTTGTGCTAGTAAGGTTTTACGGCTCTCACAACTGCATAATGTCATATTATGAGGGCCATATATAAGGTTTATCATATTATGCTTGCTCTCTTTCATATTTTTTGAATTGCAAAATTTTACTCGATGTTCAATAGACATTCTGAGGGCAGGATGACAGATTTCGAGGAACAGATTGATTGATTCTTTGCACCACGACGCCACAATGTGCGCTGTTTCAGGCAAGTGGAATGAGTAACACAGGCCTACACGAACAGGACGGGCAGAGCACTTTTCTGTTAATATGTGATTAATGTAGGTGTTTTTACGCCCTATCAACACATATTCAGATCATTTAGGGTACAGGTTTTGACTGCCAGGGCCAACCCGGGCTGTGGGGGATACAATATTCCAGAAGGAAGCACGAGATACTGGATATAAATTGTCCTCACATAGCAATCGAATTCAGGTTTCCTGCGTGCCCACGGCAAAGCTTCCAACTCTACACGACAGGTACGGTATTTAATAAGCGGGTAAAAAAAACAGCAATAGCTGCTATGGTCTACACAAAGAAAAAACCGCATGACGCAATCATGGAAAAAGGACATTTATTTTCTTTTGAAATACAACATTGAAAAAGAGATACCAGCAAGCTAGTTTGCTCTGTCTGATAAACTTATTCTTATTATAATATTATCATTATTACGGTAGGAGGTAATATTTGATAAGTATTAAATGGGAATTTCATCAGCAATAAGCGGCGGACAGCACGAGCCCAATAAAATCAGGCAATGGCTGATTTTCAGGATGCAAGAACGAAGAGGCCGATTTAGCCATTCCTATTACAATGTGAGATAAAAATGTGGTAACAGCCCGCTATCAGAAGGGAGAAAGTCTTTCTGTCTTGTACGTGTTATAAATAGGTTCTCCAGTGAAATACATCTCTCTCTCTCTCTCTCTCTCTCTCTCTCTCTCTCTCTCTCTCTCTCTCTCTGGTAGTAACGTATAGAGTGAGTGTATACACAACGTTAACCCTACTGGGATGTTGGGCGAGAATGCGTTCTCTCTCGAGATTGGTCTAACTGGAAATATTAGATGAATTGTTGGTGCTTGCAGCAATAGCAGAGGGTAGTAACTTATAATTTGTGTGAGGCTTCTCGAATTATTAAAGAAAGTTGAAGCCAAAAGAGAAGCCCGCGAACTGCGCATATCCATAAATGGAAAAGAAGATTTTAAGTTCTAAAAATGTGGAACTCTCCTCTGTCAGAATTGGTCTCATTGGCAACAAAATATCGTATTATCATTATGTTTTTTGCTATCCCGTTTAAGAAATGTTCTCTTCTGCAGACGCACTGGTCATCGTAAAGCATGGCCGGATGAAGTATTATTATTAATCACATGTACACAGTTTCACATAGGGAAACGTTTCTGGATAATGCTCATCGCACTATTAAATCAAAGTCCCTATCACATCTATATAATAGTAAGACACGCCCGTATACCTTTCTTGATCCTATTAGTATTGACCATGTCTCTCCTTTGAGGCTTATAAAGGAAGTCAAGATTTGAAGCGAAGGGAGTAGTATTTGGGCAAATTCTTCCTACGTGGCTATCGCCCAGGCAAAGCTGTATCATGGGTACTGCTTTTGAGAATATATGGCTGCTTTAAAGGACAAGCGGGCTAACCCAGATTTCGGGCGTTTTCAGAAATCTTGAACTACTCCAAAAGTGGGCATTGTCCTACCTATAGGAGACGTTTGGTTTCATTTGTGTGTATGTTTGTTTGGTTTTTAGAGAAAAATGCTCCTTGTCTTTTGAAGAAACTGAACAAGGGGCAAAAACTTTACCTTCGATTTTCTCAAAACAGCATTTTTCGGGATAGCCCCCCCCC